TTATTAAGAAATCTAAGTATTTGACAACTATTTGTGTTTATTATTTTTCATTTTATTAAAAATATTCTCAAATTTATATAGAAATTATGAAAACAACAAAAAAAAAAAAGTTTTTTCTTACTTGTTCTCATATCCAACTTGTTCTAAAACATAAATAAAACCATTATTTTGTCCTTCTTGAATATATGGTTATTAGAAGCCATATTTTTCTTCGTTAAAAAGAAGAAATAGAAACATCACCAAACAGACCTTTAGATTCAGTTCAACGTAACTCCAACTGAACTAACGATCGTAAGTTGAACTTTAATTTCAACTGAACATAAAGTATTGAATTGAACCAATTCAATTTGGGTTGGATTGGTTTGGTTTCTTACGCACCTATTTGTGACAGATTCTCAAAGGCCTTGAACCTCACGTCCTGGTCGGCTGCATTACGCTTGACGATTGGTACTTGGAGGACAATATTGGCTTCAAGCATGCCAACCACAGAAGACATGGATGGTCTGAGAGTTGGAGATGAATTCGTACATAAGAGAGCTATATGAAGCATCCTCATCACCTCTTCTTTCGAGTAATGTGAACCCAGACTCGGATCGATAAGTTCGAGAAGATTTCCTTGCTCTCGTAGAACATAAGCCTTCAAAACATGTACAACGACAAAAGAAAAAAAAATGCATAAGACCATTGTTCAGTTTTGTAAACAAGGCTCAAAAAGGGAAGAATTGAAAAGCCACCAGTGTTTACCCAATCAAGAAGATGAACAAAGTCCTCTTTTGGCAGATGACTTGTATTACTTTTCCCACTAACAATCTCCAAAGCCACAACTCCAAAGCTGTAAACGTCGGCTTTGTAAGTCAAGTAACCCCTCATTGCATACTCTGGAGCTATGTAGCCTCTGGTAAGAAATCAAAAGTTGTATCAGAAAAGGCCAAGCAACAGTTGAACTAAATAGGAAATTAGAGAGAGAGACAAAGAGACATAGTTCCCGCAATTCTTGTGCTGATATGGGTTTTCTCCTCTTCATCAAGCTTAGCCAATCCAAAGTCGGAGATTTTGGCATTTAGGTTCTCATCAAGTAGCACATTGGTAGGTTTTATATCTCTATGAACAATTTTCAATCTAGATTCTTCATGAAGGTAAGCCAATCCCTTTGCTATTCCCAAGCATATCTTCATTCTTGCCGGCCAATCCAACCGTAGTTGGTGCTCCTCGGGGCCTAAAAATGAAAACCATGAAACATTTATAACCAAAAACTTTACTTTTGGAACAGAAACAAGTTATGATGAAATATATATGAAAAGAATTTACCGAAGAGTGCACGAGCAAGACAATTGTTCTCTAGATACTCGTATATAAGCAACAACTGGTTTTCTTCAATACAACAACCATAAAGCTTAACAAGATTTGGGTGTTGTAATCCAGATATCATGCCAATCTCAGTGACAAATTCACGATTCCCTTGCCTTTAGCTGTTTTACAGCAATTAAAGTACCATCCGACAGTACACCCTGCCAAATATGTTTTGTTTTCTTTAGTAAGATCCCATGTTCTCTCAAGCTATTAGATGGAGAATATAATGAAGAAGATAATATTTCCATAATTACCTTGTACACTGGACCAAACCCTCCCTCGCCTATCTTACATGCCGAGTCAAAGTTGTTGGTGGCTGCTTTAATTTGTCTTAAACTGAAATAACCCGTCCTTAAATCTATGGCCCGCAATTCTGTAATGAAGAAAGGATGCAAATTTTTGTCACAGCAATGTGTGAGAAGAAACCTCCCTAGTCCCTCGCCTATCTAGACTTCTGTCAATTTATATCATTTCTCGACAGTGATTTCCCTCGACTTTCTAGTAGTTGTACTTATGGAAGATATATTTCACAATTATAATCTCACCTTTGTCTTCAGTATCCTTATTGCCCAAGCAACCCTTCCTTCGAAGAACAATCAATACTAACACAAAGAATGCAAATGAACCAACAACAATGCCAGCAATAGCTCCAGCTGATAGCAGCCCTCTACTCTCCACATCAGAATCTACCGTATCTTTAGAAGATAACAATAGTTTAGGACTGCTAGAAGATCAATTATTGAAAAAGAGACAGGAAGTTCTAGAGATTACGCGATGAATTATAATAGACAACGAAGAAATTGTTAAATGATTAGCATAAAATGAAGAAAATGCTCACTCGATGTCACGGTGATTGCAGATATCAAAGGTCCATATACCCCTCTCTCCGGAATGGCATTTGTTCCTTTACCAGCCCAATACAAGTGGATCTCAAGAGTGCTTCCATTGACTATAATATTAGGCTCTTCAAGAATATAGCTCTTACCAACACCTCCAGCATTTTCCATTATGTTAAAATCTTTACGAACCAAGTTTCCCTGTGGAATGTACCCAGTTAGAAAATAGTGTAACTGCTATTCATCCACGAAACATAGAAAAATACCCAATAAAATCCCAAGACTCGAGATGTAATTACAATCCGTGTCATTTGAACATCATGATATCTTTCAACTCACTTGAATTGAGATATCAAAGATGCGCTTCCCCAAGCTGCTGAACTTTTGGTCTGCAGTAAACATTATTTCAGCAAAGTGAAGCTTCACATTGTAACTTCCTCTCCGCAAGCAAAATCCATAGTATTTGAGTGAAAGAGGCGCGAGTCGTGCTGTCCCATAGATTCCTAAAGAAGACACGTTGCTACTTACTGTGTAAGGAATGTCGTCATTGTCATCCAAGAAAATACCATTGTGCTGCTGTAACCCCATCTTTCTGAGAAAGAAACGAAATTGGATTTGCCACCCTGAGTAACATCCTCTTCGTAGTCACTACCATCAATCTTCAAGCTTTGTCCTCCACAATTTATGAACAATGAATGAACTACCAAGTGTAATCAGAACCATGCATCAGACATATCGTTCAATGTGGAATTATATGGCTACTATTGAAAGGCTACAATTCTAGAAGAAGTTAGAATCATATTCATCTTAACTTACATCGAGCTTCTCTAGAGCAAGGGAGATCCTTCCTTAGGCACCAAAGAACCCTGAAAATTAGATGCTTAGCTATCTGCTTGTTACCTATGAAACATGAAGTTGAGAAGATAAGTTTGTTTCATGTATCATGTATGTTAAGTAAAGGCTTACGTTTCATTCCTTGTAGTCGAATGACTAGAAACCAAGTTCCTGGACAACAGAAAGATAAAATACATTAGGGAGTAGATTTTCAATGGTGAAGCCAACGTAAAGATACATCTTCCAGACTTCCAGATAGTTACACTGTAATTGATTAGCTAAAAAGGGGCTTACACATTAGACTGTTGACAAACTGAAACGGGCGGCCCTGTAAAATTGTTGTAAGATAAATCTCTACAACAAATTTTATAATACTGTTAGCAGCAGAAGAGCAAGATAAAAAAATCAGCCATTCATGTTGTAGCAATATGAGAATAATTATATAATTGCAAGAATAGAAAATTTGTGCAACCGAGTATTAAAATAACTTTACTAGTACATATAGACTCGTAGAGTTTAGACTGACATGTTCGCTTTGCTGTTAACAATCGAGCTTGGTACTTGACCACTTAATGAGTTGTTGGTCAGAAACCTACATCAAGTAATCACCTCAAGGTATGGGTAAAGTAACAAAAATGTATCTTGAAAAAGTGAATTGCCAAAATCACATGTGAATATTAACTTACAGGAACCGAGTAACTTCCAATAGCCTCTCGAATGAATTTGGAATTGGACCAGTCAATCTGTTGAAGCTTAAATCTCTATTGAAAGATAAAAGTTCCACCAGTAGATGATATTAATTCATCATATGTTATTTTTTCTAAAAAAAAAAAAGCAATGGAAATGAACTTCAGAAACTTACAAAGTTTTTAGTCGATTAAACTGTCCAATATATCTGGGGATTGTATCCTCAATTAAGCAATTTCTTAGGACCCTGAGTAGCGGTAGAAAAGCAATGTAACAAAAAGAGTTAAAACTAATCTAATACAGCGACTCATAATAAATCAATAAAGTACAACCTTCTCTTACAATATGTTTAAAGATGTCAGTAGAGTCAAATTGGGAAAACTTATCCGTGGTCCCTTCAAATCAGTTATCCTCCTGACAAACAAGGAATGTTACTAGTTTAAACATCATTCAACTCGGTTGCTTAACTCGGTATACATTCTTCATAACACTAAACTAGCAAGTAGCAACAGTGTCATGTCAAGTGAACTAATCCTCACTCACAGTTCAGTTAAAGTTTTCAACTCGGAAATAGCACGAGGAATAGGATTCTCCATAGACGTTCCTTGAATTTCTCTGCAATGAACAACTATACTTAGTTAAAAGTAATGCTATGACTATAACGATATTGCACAACTTTACTTTATATAGATTGAAATAAGAAACCATTTATAAATTCTAAGAAAACAAGATATCCATTTATAAATTCTAAGAAAACAAGATATCGACTACTTACAGTATCTCAAGTTTGGTCCAGTTGCCAATAAATTCGGGTAGCTTTCCTGATACATCATTTCCATCAATCCGGCTACAAGAAGAACATGTAAATTTAGAAATTTGTGGAAAATTCAAACATTTGAAAATGTTTTAAGACGACTGTTGAGCGTAACTTACAATTCAGTCAAGTTCCTTAAGTTTCCATAGGTGTCTGGAATTGACCCCGTGAAATTATTTGCAGAAAGAAGTCTACAGATAAAAAAAAACTGATTTAGTTGTATCGATAATAAAAGTCAAACAGATGAATAAACCATGATAGCTTCGTAAATAAACGTTCATAGACGTTAAAAGACACCAATCGATTTTTTATCTTTTTTAATAACCGGGAGTCAAAACTTTGCTCCCTAGACTTGGGGCACCCAGCATCCGCCCCAAAGCCCGGGGACCTGGGAGACGTCAAGAGCTTTTTGTATTAAGCTCACCCAAAAGTTCGAATTTGAGACCTTTAGGTCGATACGACTAAGAGATCTCATGTCCTTGCCAACAAGATTTGCCCCTAGGGTGCTTACACCCATCAACTATTGGAACATTCATCCCAACTAATAATGATGAGATTTAATCATATGCATAGAAGTGTCGAATGAGGACAAGATTCAGGCTTAGCAATCTTACAGTCTTCGCAAGCGCCTCAGGTTTCCAAGGTTTTCAGGGAGACTTCCTCCAAGCTGATTATTATGCAAAACCCTGTAAATGCAATCCCCATTCGTAATCAACCTCCCAAAATCTTCATTAGATGAGATTTCATCAATATACATCAAATGACCTACAATTTCTCAAGTGAAACGATATCACCGATTTCTGGAGGAATCTGACCACTTAGTCGATTTCCCACCATGGAACTACACATAACAAATTTAAAAAATCACATGGGTAAACTCCATATATCCAGAAAGCAGATCAATTTTGTTCCCATTATATATAAAACAGAAAGTAGCAACTTACAACTCAACAAGAGGAATGCGACCAAACTCCCTAGGGATTGATCCAGATATAAAATTGCGAGTGAGATCTCTGTTTAGTAAAGAAAAAGATTCTCAGTTGAAATAAAGATTTAGAGGAGTAAAAGAAATGAATAAAATAGAACCCAGAGAATGCTACATAAATTAAAAGGAAAATCTAACTTTAGAACCAAACTCAAATGCTCTAGATAATTCTAATTTCTAGACAATGTCATTCATTTCTGGATGAGCTTTTGCTTGCACACAAAATTTCACTTAAAGAGTGACCAAGTTATTTCCTAGTACCTGATATCATGGTAGTCCAAATCCCAAGCAAAACGTAATGGTAATGGTAATATGATTCATGGTGAGCTCGAATTATCTACCGGAAATGGTATTTTTAAGTAAAGCATTTATTTTTTGCAAGTACTAGGTAGTTTAGTTTTGGAAGAAACTAATCAAATATTTTATCTAAAAATAATTTAAATGCTTTTTATTTACTTTTAGAAAATTTTCAAACTATTTTGTATGATTGAAAATTTTAACCAAACAATATCAATTTAAAAAAAAAAAAAATAGTTATAATCTTAGATAAAAAGACATGCAAAAACACACACTTACAGCCGCTGCAACCGAGTCAAATTCGCAAATGCTGCCGGTAGAACTCCAACTAGATTGAGACGCTTTAGCCGACTGTTGTAACGAGAGAATATGGTAAGCAAGAGGAGCAAAAACAAGCTCAAATGTTACATATTAATTATAATAAATAATAATATACTAAAATACTAGTAGTAACAAAAAAGAAGAAAGAGAAGGTTCTCACATGCTGATGACGCTGCAAGCAGTGGAACAATTGCATTTCACCTCTCTGATATTATACTTATCTTTGATAACACTATTGGAGAAGCCATCGCCATTTATGCAAGAATTTTGGCGGACGTTCCAATTTAAGTTCTTTAGCGCTGCAGATATTGCTTGAAGGGCTCTCACTGTCATATTCAAATCATTCACTTAAATATCAAAGTATCGCCCATGTGTATAACTAAAAACTTCCAAATTACTTCCTGCAATGAATCAAAATTTGAAAACTCTTCTTTGTAGATCATTAAGTATCAAGAACCCAGAATCAAGGTTCTAATTTAGGTTAGTTATATGGTTAATTATGGTTTTCATCACCCAACTTTTATTTAATTACTCGTCATTTTAGTCCCCTATTTTTAAATTTTTATTATCTTTTTAACATCTAAAATTTCGTATTGAAATTAAATTCCTTCATAAAATTGACAAGATTTAATTTTTAAAAAATAGATAACTATATAGTAAGTAGTTGCATGATTTTTTTTCCTTTTTTTAAAGATGATTGCATGAGAACTTTTTTTTTGAAATACTAGCAAACGTGACAAATGTCTTGATTCAATGGGTCCCAGGTGCGGGCCACGTCTATATTAGGATGGAAAAATTCAAAGTTGGATTGAACCCTTTTTAATTAGAAGGTCGAAAATTCGAATCTCTGGCGTATCGAGAGAGGCAGAGACACTTTGACCATTAAATGTACAAATTTGACAAAAATGAACCATTTAAAGGAAGAGAAGCGACAAAGTTGATTATGACGTACAAATGTTTTAATTGAATATGGATCTAAACAATTTGGAGCATAATTAATGATTGCCCTAACTGGTTTTTAAAAATAATTCCCTTTACTTTTTAATTAAATCAAAGAAAACTTTTACTGATATCTTTATTCTTATTCATCAAATGGGTGTTAGCATAAAAGAATTATTTTCATATAGTTTAGAAAGTTTGTCAAGTAAATGAGTAATGACCAAAGCTAGACCAATCCAAATCGACCCATCTTATGTGATTTACTTTTAACGGGTCAGAAATACTAGACTCATCTCAATCGACTACATCAGAAAGTCGTCAAAAGTGAAAAGAAATTCTGCGTGTGAGAGCGAGAGGTGCAAGTGCAAGTCGAAGTCTAAATTTTTTAACAACCAAAAAGAAAGCATATTCAACAACAGAGACCACATAGAGAGAAGGTACCTTCTTGTTGAGGCAGAGGTTGGGCATTCGATCCAAATTCCAGGAAGCAGCTGAGAAGCAGTAATCCACAGACAAGAACATTAACATGAACATGAACATAAACATGAATAGTACTCTTCGAGTCCCAAGTCCAAAAATCCATGTCCAGAGTCCTAAAATAAAAGACAGACAATAAGACTAAGAGGGCAGCACCAGGGAAGCAGAGCAAACAAAGAGAAAGATGGTAAATTTATGGAGAGAGAAGAGAGACATGTCCAAAGACGAAGAGAAAATGTAGACGATAATTCAAAGGATGGCTGTGATATGACAGCGGTACTTAAGAAGGTGTCGGCAATGTTTGAAAAAAGGCAAGGCAACCACATCCCAAGGACTTTCCCTCTACTGGGAAAGTTGATGTTTTAATTTGTAGGGTCGGTCACGGTGATTATGATTCATGCATGGAGTTCGGCTCGTCCACCACTTCTCGAATTAAGTAAAATTACCAAGAACGCATTCGCACTGACTTTTCTTTTGAAAAGTATTGCGCTAACTTGACTTCCAATAGTGGATCATGAAGATTCAACAACCTTGATCGCCCTTCGCCCACCACTGCCTAGGTAGGAGAGGGAAACGTGGAGAGGAGAGAGAATTTTTATTTTTCTCAAACAAAAAAAAAAAATAATTCTTCCCATCAACTTGAAAAGGTGTATAAAAAAGAAGAAAAGCAAAGTGTTGACATGATATGACAAAAAAAATCATATCAGCAAGGAAACAGTTTCATCGTGTTATGTAAAAAAGAAAAGCAGACGGAATAATCGACAAAATAAAAATAATTCGAAAACAGTTGAAAGCTACAAGTTATCTAGGGACAGCTTTCAAGAAAATAACATCCATGATCATTAATAAACTTTTATGAGAATAACTTAATAGATAAATTTTAACACATTAAATATAAAGTTAAAAAATTTTAAAAATTAATAACTAAATTGAAAATTTAAAGACCCTTGTTTGTTCTGCGGTCTTTCTTTATCTTCCGCTGACTTGACTTCTCTAATATAAAAATAAATATTTCTTTTCAGAAAAAATAAATAAGACAGTATATTTTTTCGGACGAAGTTTTAAAATAATCTAATTTTAAAAATAAATTACAAAAATAACGTTAGTTTAAAAATAACTACAAAATAAATGTAATTTAAATAAATAAATTTGAATGTAAGTTAGGTTTTCAAAACTATGGATAAAAATAAGTTAGGTCAAAATAAAAGTCAAAACTCGCGTACAATGCCCGTGCTTCCCGGGCAAACGTCTATGTGTAACGTGTCAGGTGATTAGGCGGAAATCGCATACATTGTCTGCGACTTTCACCTTTTTATTTGTTTATTTTTGGAAGTCGCATACATTGTACGCGACTTCCACCTTTTTATTTTTTTTAATTTAATTTTATTAATATTTTAAGTTATATATTGTTATTTTATTAATATTGCAAAATTTAATTAAGATGTGATTAAATTTTTTGTTTTTTTGTTTTTTATTTTAAATTTTGATTAAAATGTCATTTAAAGTCTAAAAGTTTAAAATTATATTAAAACCGATTAAAATGTCATTTAGCTTATCGTGTTTCATCTTCGTATGTTCTATAAAATAACATTTAAATTTAATATAAATTAAATCGATAAAAAATTATTAAATTAATAAAAACCTAAAAGTCAAGATATAAATTACATGAAATTCATATGTTTTGTCATTTGCATGGCGAAATATATGGCTTTAAAAACCCAAAATTTGGGATATGTATAATTAGGGTTTTGTTTGTTTTATAACTATTTTGTTTTAAATTATTGCATTACAAGAATATGTCCATCATGTTATAGGTAATTCATGAGCTATTTTCCAAATATGGAGAAAATTAAGATGATAGTCTTTTTCTTAAATTATAATTTTTTAAATAAAATTTAAAAAAAAAAGCAAAGGGATATTAGTGGGAAGTGGAGGCTTACAACTTCTAAAGTTAATTTTGAATTTGATTCAAAATTATGAGAGATTGATATTAGTTGATTCCAATAATATAGTGAATTAATTTAAGTTTAATTTAATTAAATTAATCAAATTAATGTGGTATATTTGGTTAAATTAAATTAATAATTATTTTTAATTAATTAAATTAGATTTAATTAATTATTATTTTAATTAAAATTGTTTTAGTTAGAAGGAAAAAAAGAAAAAGAAAAAGAAAGAAAGAAATGGGAGGATTAACCTAGGTTTTTCCTGGGGAGTGGGAAAGTGGTAAGAACTTCCCCACCATTCTTCCTCCCTAAAAGGGAGGTTCTCTCATTCTTTTCAATCCCGGTCCAAGGTTGTTGAGTTTTCGAAACTCCAACGAGAAATTCTCTCTCTCGATCTCTCGGTTTCCCTTTCAATTATAAATGGTTCCCACAAATCGAGTTCGAAGATAGCGAGGAAAACTTTGTGGTGGCGTTGGTGTCTACATTAAAGGAGTGTCTTCAAGTATGTATCACTAACTTCCTTCTTACTCATGCTTATATCTTTTCTTTATTGTAATTCTAAAACAAGATCGAAGCACACGTGTTCGGACGCTTCGGGATCTGATCCCTTCATATGCAACGATGATGATTTTAATTCTTTTATTTTTTGTGACAAGTAAAGCTCAAGGTTTATAAAATAATTATCTACATATTAACAAAATATTTTTTCTTTTTTTTTTCTCTTTAAAGGCGGTTTTTTTCCTTCACAAATTTTTGGTGCATTAAATCAAGAGAAATATAGCTTTGTCACTGTCTGAAGATTTTTTTAACCTTGTTTTTTTTAATGATTCTCCCATTTATAAAGTTGAGTGCAAACAAATAGACATAGGAGTAACAAATAAAATAATTCATAGCATTATTTTATTTGATCGGTCTATTTTTACACCTATCAAGAATATAAACTGAATGAGTGACTTTAAAGGTATGACAAAGAAAGATTTTTTTCCAAATATTTTCGGATAGATGTGAGAATGAAAAGACAAAATTTACAAATGGGTCATTGAAATAGAAGAAATGGAGCATAAAGAATGGAGGAGAGAGATATAATGAATGAAAGAGTTAAAAGTGAATGACAAATTGGAAAAAAAATGATAAGATGTGAGAACGAAAAGACACCGCTTACAAACAGATAAGAGTGAACTCATTTTCTTGGACGTGATGGTATAGCTTCCTAAGATTTCTCTCATAAATGGGTTGTTCAAGTGCATTAGTATACAAACATCTTTCTTTTCATCTTCCAGTCAAATAGAATTTGTTCTAACTCCTTGCTTTCTCCTGACATATGACGAGTTTTTTTTTTAAAAATGAGGTGACTCTTGCTTTGATAAAACTCTCTCTTGGAATGACTTCCCAAGTATATGAGTAGCAATGCATGACCATGGAACCTATCAGCAATCATCTAGCTTTGATTCCAAATTGGGAAAATTTCTTTTCATATACAATGTCGATACCGTTTGTGCAACCAACAAATCACACTCCATTTGACTAAGTACTTGATATTGACGATCTTTGAATTAGCAATAAGAAATTTTTCTCCGTTTGTACACTAAACATAATTCAGGTTGAATCCCTTACATGAACTTGTCATTTTTTTGATATCTTGGTTGATCTTTCCTTTTCCATGCAATTCATCCAAGTCTATGGAACTCTTTGCAATTAGTTTATTTATTCCCAATGATTATATGTTGTTATTCACTTCGAATTTTTTAGATTCTCTTTAGTTTGCACGGGTTTGCAGATGGGCTTGGTTTATGTAGTGACCATTTAGGATGAGGGAGATATGAAATGGCTTGAAGTTGAGAGTTTGGGAGAGACGAGATCGCCTGCAGTACAACATGAGGGGGTGGGGATTCGAACTCACAATCTTTTGGTTTGAAATATATGTCAATTATCGTTGAGTCATGCTCGCTTTGGCCAATTTATGTTTTGAATTCCTATAAAATAAAATAAAAAAATTATGTTTTTCTCAAAAAATAAATAAATAAATAAATAAAAACTCATGTTATATAAATATACAAACAAATACTTTCTTTTCTCTTATGTCTAAAAAGGTTATATATATAAACAAATACTATTGGGTGTTTACTAGTTAATTAGCATTCCTTGTTTGACGGCCACCATTCAAATTTTGACAAGTAAAAAAAATTACAAAAGAGATATTTATTTTATATTTTAAAAAAATTAAAGAACGGTCCAATTTTTATGTGTCTGTCAAGAAGATGAGGCTAACTTATAAATATATTTTAGTATGTATATTACTTAACTATTATCAACCTTTTATTTTATTTTATTTTTTTCACATTACCTTTTATTTTGTTAACGTCAAAGAAAAAAAAATTATTACCCAAGCGGAGTGCAAATGAAAAAACTTGGTTTTTATTATGAAAAACCTAAAAATATGCATAATCATATCTATAGAAATAAAAAATACAATAAAAGACATCTCTGACCAAAATAAAAGACATCTCTGACCAAGAGATTATAAGTTCAAACCCCCACCCCGAAGCGAGATAATAATATCTCGAGTGAGATCTCCATTGATTGATCTATATTATTTTTTGCCAACCACAACTTCTAAACTATTTTCTTGAGTTCGTTTTCTCAGTTTATTTGGCACACTAAATGAACCTTTGGTTGAACAATATAAATAAAAGTTAAATTACAGACCTATAAAGTTGCTGCTACCAATTTGATATTTTGCTTTGATTCAATCTCCAAGAAGACTTCTGGTTGAAGAATACTCTAGAGCCTCGTCCTTGTTTTTGGTAGAAGCAGATGATGAGTCAGTCCATGGCCCGTCGGTTAACATGCTTCTCTGCATCTGAATGCCTTGCGAAGATGTTGAAATGCTGGTTTGGCTGTCTTGTGATAGCTTCTCGAAGGCTTTGAACCTTGCATCTCGGTCGGCCGTGTTGCGCTTGATGTTCGATACTTCAATTGCAAGTTTACCTTCGAGCATGCTAACCACGGAAGACATGGTTGGCCTGAGAGTAGGAGACAGGTTCGTGCATAAGAGAGCTATTTGCAGCATCCTCATCACCTCCTCTTTTGAGTAATTTGAGCCAAGACTTGGATCAACAAGTTCCAGTAGGTTTCCCTCCTCTTGTAGAACATAAGCCTAAAAATACACACGTGACAATGTGAAAAAAGAAAAGAACCAGAATATGATTTTGAAAAGTTAAAGGACGGAATAACTAAAAAGCCATCAGTTACCCAGTCAAGAAGATAAACAAACTCCTCTTTCGGTCTGTAACTTGTGTTACTTTTTCCACTAACAATTTCTAGAGCTACAACTCCAAAGCTATAAACGTCAGCTTTATCGGTTAAGTAACCCCTCATTGCGTACTCGGGAGCCATGTAACCTCTGAAATGAAATCAAAACTAACATCAGAAAAAGACTACTAATCAATTGAGAGTAGAGAGATAGAGAACAGACATTGTGCCAGCAATTCTTGTGCTGATATGGGTGTTCTCCTCTTCATCAAGCTTAGCCAATCCAAAGTCAGAAATCTTGGCATTCAGACTTTTATCAAGTAATACATTGGTAGCTTTTATATCTCTATGAACAATTTTCAATCTAGATTCTTCATGAAGGTAAGCCAACCCTTTTGCTATTCCCAAGCATATCTTCATTCTTACCGGCCAATCCAAATGCAGTGAATTCTCCTCCGAGCCTGAAAAGAAGTTAATAATGAAATGAAATCACCGTTCTCCTAACCTTATATGAAACTAAAACAAGTTAATAATGAAAGAAATATCTAAAGCACTTACCAAAAAGAGCACGAGCAAGACAATTGTTCTCTAAATACTCATAAATAAGCAATAACTGGTTTCCTTCAATACAACAACCATAAAGCTTGACCAGATTCGGATGTTGTAATGCAGATATCATGCCGATTTCAGTGATGAATTCACGGTTCCCTTGCCTTGATTTAGAGGATAGCTGCTTTACGGCAATCGAAGTTCCATCCGACAGTGCTCCCTACCAAATATTTTTTGTTTACTTAGGTCATTTTATGTTGGACTTCAACATTATTTTGAGAAACAAGTGGGAAGAAGGACCATATATCAAACAATGATGCAACATATATAGAGTGAAGAGGATAAAAATATTTCCACAGCTACCCTGTATACAGGACCAAAACCTCCCTCGCCTATCTTGTATGACGCATCGAAGTTGTTGGTGGCTGCTCTTATTTGTCTTAAACTGAAATAACCTGTCTGTAACTTTAGGTCCCGAAGTTCTGTAACAAAGAAAGAAATGCATTTTTTCTTTTAAAATCAGAGATATATGTAGAGTTAGAAGAAAAAAAAAAAGTAAAATCCCTCAAAGAACACAAAGTTGACTACACAAATGGAAACAGGTGTACATAAGTAGATCACTTTTGTAATTAATCTTACCACTGTCTTCAGTTTCCTTCCCACCCAAGTAACCCTTTCTTCGAAGAACAACCAATACTAAAACAACGAACATAGAACTACCAACAACAATGCCAGCAATAGCTCCACCTGATAGCCCTCCAGCTTCCACATTAACTTCCACATTAAAATCTACAATAGCAGAAGCAGATATCAAACTATTCAGTATAGATAATAAAATCAATTGTTGAAAGTTCTAGAATCTAAATTACACAATAAATTAGAAAATAAAGTATTTACTTGGTGTCACAGTGATTGCAGATATTAGAGGTCCATACACCCCTATATCTGGAATGGAATTTGTTCCTTTGCCAGCCCAATATAAGTGGATCTCAAGAGTGCTGCCATTCACTAGAACGGTAGGCTCTTCCAGAGTAAAGTTCTTACCAACACCTCCAGCTTCCTCCATTATGTTAAAATCTTTTCTAACCAAGTTTCCCTGTGGACGAAACCCAATTAGTAAATAGTATTACTACTCGTACACCGAGCACAGAAAAATTGCTTAATATGTGTTTTAGTCTCTAAACGTTTCAATTTAGTCTCTTTAACATTTTCCTATTCTACCCAATGATTGTCAAAACTAGTTCATGAGAAACTAACCTGACATGATACTCAGTAAGTCAGTATAAACTTGAAAAGATAAATTAGGCCGAGAAAATTTCCTATTTCCTGATACAAAATTTTAAAATTTGTGGGTACATATTTCTACTTTCCTCTCTTAGGTGGCCATTTCTAAATTCTACCCTACCAACCCCCTAATTATCTTGCCATGATTTTCAACCCATTTCAACATTCAGCAACGGAAAGAGTATAATTGAACAATTTTTAAAACGTAAATGGGACACTAAATTTAGAAAACACACAAACATTAGGGACTAAAACGTAACTTTAGCTTTAACATCAGAATGAAATCTTTCCACTCACTTGAATAGAGACATCAAATATGCGCTTCCCAAGGCTACGATAGGTTTGGTCTGCAGTAAACATGATTTCAGCAAAGTGAAGCTTGACATTGTAACTTCCATTTCGCAAGCAAAATCCATAGTATTTGAGTGAAAGAGGAGAGACCCGAGCTGTGGAATAGAGCCCTGAAGCACCAGACCCATGGCTGCTACTTGTTACTATGTAAGGAAGTCGATCATTTCTCAAGAAAACACCTGTGCTGCTGTAACCCCATCTTTCTGAGGAAGAAAAGAAATTGGATCTGCCATTCTGACCATGAGTATCATCTACTTCGTATTCATTACCATTAACCTCCATACTCTCTCCTCCACAATTTATGAACAATGAATGAACTACAAGTGTAATCAGAACCATGAATCAAACAAAACGTTCGATCTGAGAATTAGTAGTATCAGATATATAACATATAATTCAGAAGAATTAAAATGGGGCTTTTACAATAATATCATATCTAGCCTAAATAATAACAGATATGTCGGGTGATAAAATATTTTCCAAATATGGCAGGTAGTCTTGCCACCCGTTATAATTTTCTCAATTAAAAATCACATTCATTGCCACTTACATCGAGCTTCTTTAAGGCAAGGGAAATCCTTCCTCAGGCACCAAGTAACACTACAACAAATTAAATATTTTAGACACATGAAGTTGAGAAAATAAAATAAGTTTACATCAGGCTAAGAAGCACGGACTCAAAAACAACACAAAAACGATGACACGCCAATTTCTAAAAATGTAGGACACTGATACATTGGGGACACGTTAACTTTTTTTAATTTCATTTAGATAATATATGTGTATAAATTGACATAGTAATACTTCTAAATAAAAAACTTCAACCTAGTTAGTGGGTTTTTTAGTGCTTGGCTTCTGTCTTCATTTGATTTTAGATTTCTTTCAAAACTCAAAAAGAAAAAAAAAAGAAAAAAAAAAGGTTTCTTTTAAGTGAGTGTGTCCATCACGTGTCCTCCACATGTCCACCGTGTATCCAAAATTTTAGAAAAAGAAAACAAACACACTATTTTGCATGTTGGACACGTGTCTCGAGCGTGTCCGTGTACGAAATGGATACTTTGTCAATAGCAAAGTGTTTGTGCTTCCTAGATACATGGTAAGTAAAGGCTTACTTTTCATTCTTCCTAGTTGAACTGGAAACCAAGTTCCTGTATAAAAGAAAGATAAAATATATGTTAAATTACAAGTTTGATCCCTAAAATTTTAGAGCTATATCTAATAGGTCTTTGAATATTAGAAAGTATCTAATAGGTCAAGATAAAGGGAACTTAAATATACATCTTTCTACACACTTATAAGAAGTTTTTATCACAGTAATGGGTAGAAATAAAGTGGCTTACACATTATTAGACTGTGTACAACTGAAAGATGGCAACTCTGTAAAATTGTTGTAAGATAAATCTCTGCAACAGATTTTATAATACTCTATCAGCCACATAGGAGAATAACACACTAGCAACAAGAGAATATTTGTACACCCATTTGATAACCATTTTGTTTTTAGTTTTTTATTTTTTAAAATTAAACTTATAAGCACTGCTTCCACCTATATCTCTAAAAACTCTTTTCAAATATAAGCTAGGTTTTGAGGACGGAAAGTAGTTTTTTAAAACTTATTTTTTTGTTTTTTAAATTTGGCTAATAAGTTAAAAGTGTGTTTAAAAAAAAGGTAAAAGAACGTATCAAATAAATTTTGAAAAAACAGATAATTTAAAACAGAAAACTAAAATTGAAGTGGTTATCAACATGACCTGTGTAATTTGAAGGATAAAAAATTTGTGTAACTGAATTCTGGTGTATATAGACTCATATAGAGTTGAGACTAACATGCTCCTTTGGCTATAGCGGCTGTCCAAGATCCAATTCGGTACTTGGCCACTTAATGAGTTGTTAGTCAGAAACCTAGACAAAATTCAAAATTAATCATATCTTGGACATAACAAATATGTAAGCTTTAGAAAATGAGAAAATACGGACTGGGAGCATAAAATTCCTATTTCTTTCTTGCCATTAAGCTTTTGACAAGTAGAATGGAGAAATACAGAGAATGAGAAAGAGAAATTTTTTCAATAGTGGTAAAATTTTCTATTGTCCAATACGGCAAGAAAGAAGAAAGTATTATTCATATTAGCTTACATGAACTCAGTCTTTTGGACCAACAGATTCTGAACTGTATCTGGAATTGGACCACTTAATCTGTTGAAGCTCAAATCTCTATTGGAAGGGCAAAAATTTCATCCATAAATGATATTAACTCACGATATATGATGTAAAAAGAAAGGCCAAATGATGGTAAAAATGTAAAATAAAAATGAAGTTCAGAAACTTACAGAGTTCTTAATTCACTAAACTGTCCCATATATTCAGGTATACGATCCTCGATTAAGCAATTTCTTAAGACCCTGAGTAGCAGGAGAAATGAAAAGCGAGATAAAATCAACAAATAGAGTTCATTTAAATTCCACAGTTTAGAACTTCTGCTTACAGTGTTTTTAAGGATGTCAATTGAGTCAAATTGGGAAATTTTGTGGGCAGTCCCTTCAAATCACTTATTATCCTGGAAAACAAGAAATATTTCTAAATTTAAAACATTTGCCTTAGTTGTTTAAAATTGATATATATTTTCAAGAACTAATCCTCACAGGTCAGTTAGTCTTTTTAAGTCGGAAACAGCGCGAGGAATGGGGCTCTCCATAGAAGTTCCTTGAACATAACTGCAATGAATGATTGATTATACATAGATTAGGCAGAAAAATTATGCTATGAGATGACTATGATAGTACTGATTGAAATAAGATTTATAATCTTGAATTTTCTAGGGAAGGGAAACAAAAAGTCAACTCCATTAAAGTTATTATCTACTTACAGTGTAGTAAGGTTTGTCCACTTGCCAATATATTCAGGTAGCTTTCCTGATATATTAGTTCCATCTATCCGACTACAAGAACATGTAAAGTCTACGAAGTGTCGAAAACTTAAGTAAAAATAAAAATAAAAATGTTCAAAGAAGCCCATCAAAATAAACCATACAAATCAGTCAAGTTCCTCAAGTTTCCATAAGATGCTGGAATCGACCCTGAGAAATTATTTGAGGAAAGAAGTCTGCAAATAATGAAAACTAAATTTAATTAGTTGAATAAATGGTAAAAGTCGAACAAATAAGTAAAGCAACATAGGCTTTGAATGAATGTTCGAGGACACTCACACCCATTGACTACATTAGTTAAATGATTCCTCTCAAAGCAAGTACTTATGTTTTAAAATTTCTCAAACAACTTTTTTATTATTGAAAATTTTATAAGGTGTTTTTAATTAGTTAAAAGCACTTTTATCGCACCAAAAACCAACAATTTTTTGAAGAACGCTTTTAATCACTCATAAGTACTTTGCAAGACGTGCCAAGCACATACTTACAGTCTCCGCAAGTTGCTCAGTTTTCCGAGATTTTCAGGAAGATTTCCTACAAGCTGATTGCCTTCCAAGACCCTGTAAATGCAATCCCATTGGTCATCAACTTCCCAAAATCTTCACTACATGAACTTTAATCTGTATACATCTTGGGCATGTTTGGTCATGCTCTCGTCTATTGAGAAACTTTGGTATTTGGAGTATCATTTGCATCGATGATTTAGTTTAAGCTGTTTAGCCAATGATCGAATGGTGGCACCAAGAAAAACAAAAACATGTTTGGTAACGATTTCTTATTTTCTTAATTTTAAACTAAAAGGAATTGATCTTTTAAATAAAATATTTATGATCTATTTAATTATTTCTCATACCTATCATGCCTTTTATAAATAAATAATAGAATAATGCTTTTATTTAGGTTGTTGAAAAACTAAAAAACAGGAAACAAGAACCAAATTTGGTTCCGAAACTTATATGCAATTTTTGGAACATTTCTTTAAAAGAGAGAGAAAAATAGGGAACAATTACCAAGAAAATCTAAAAACTTGGAAACAAGAAATGAGAAATGAGAAATAAGAATGCTGCTGAATAATCCTTAATGACTTACAGTTCCTGAAGCGAAGAAATATCACCAATTTCTGGAGGAATCAGACCACTGAGTTGGTTTCCCAGCATGGACCTGCACATAACAGATTTCTGAAATCAGACTGGGAATCGAACTGCATATGTCAATTTATTCCCATTAATTATACGCAAAACGGAAGATAAAAACTTACAAACGAACAAAAGGAATGCGAGCAAACTCCCTAGGGATTTGTCCAGATATAAGATTGTAAGTGAGATCTCTGTTTAATTAGTAAAGAACCATATGAAGATTCAGAAGAGAGCCCATATAAAACTTACATAAATTAAAAGAAAATCAACTCCAAGATCAAACTCAAATGCTCTATAGCATCCTATATAAACAATGTGATTTCTGGTTCTGTATGGGCTTGCTTGTACACAAAATTTCAGTTAAAAGAGGGGACGAAGTTGTTTCGTAGAACGTGATTAGGTCACTTTTCAAAATTTCTCAGACCACTTTTAATTGATTAACCGCTCTTAGAAATTTTAACCAAAAAAACACTACCAAAATTTTAAATGGCATGTCAAAAACACACTTACAGCTCCTGCAATCGAGTCAGATTTGCGAATGCTGTGGGAAGAACTCCAACTAGATTGAGCCTCTTTAGCCGGCTGTGGCAAAGAGAGAATTAAGAAAGCGCAGAAAGGAATATTAATGGTGATAAATGGAAGACAAAGAAGGTTCTTACATGCTGGTGACGCTGCAAATAGTGGTACAACTGCAGTTCACCTCTCTCATATGAGTTTGATTCCAAACCATATTGGAAAAGCCGTCGCCATTGATGCATGAATTTTTGTGGACCTTCCAATTTAAGTTCTTGAGCTCTGCAGATATTGCTTCAAGGGCTCTCACTGTCAGCATTCAAATCATTCGCTTAATATATATGCACATAACAGAATGAAGAATCCCCACCATCAAGACAATTTTCTTTTTATACAACAAATGAGGACAAGAAATTCAAATTCATCACCTTTCTATGAGAAATGAGTGACAATTGCGAAAAGCAGATGTTTTATGTTTTAAGTTAAACAAAAAGTTAATATTGGATTGAAATTTTTTATTAATATTAGTTAATCAAAATGTAATTTCACTGGTTAAATTATTATTAACTTTCATTAGTTTGATCCTCCTAGGATTGTGATGCTATCTATAGTCTTCCAGGGTCAAATAAATCCTCCTCGTCCAAAAGTTGAGTATCGAATCAAAATAAGCGTGTGGAACTTCATGATTAGCTAAGCTGGCCACTATCAAAATATTTTAAGGGTTGAAATTTTGGTCGCTGAATTAGAGTTTTTATTACCTCATTTTTATCTGCTTCATTTTAGTCCAATTTTTTTCCCTTACTTTTATGTACTTTCTATTTTAAATTTTTTAATATCTAAAATTTCGATTATAGTCTTTAAATTTTATGTTGATACATCATATTTTTAAGAAACTATATTTAGAATTGAAGAAAGAGTAGAAAAGTGAAATAAAAAGTTTTAAAATAGAAGATTAAAATCAAAGATTTAAAATTCTAAAAAGTAAAGTAGAAAGTTTTAAGTTGAAAACTATGGTTAAACATAAAAATAGTTGTTTGAAACCATTCCAAAACAGTTTGTTTTTTTAGAGAAAAAAAAAGAGAGAGAATTGATTCTGTTCTCATAAATCATTATTTTAAAAAAATAATAATAAAAGCATATTTAATTCCAAATTACAAATATATGAATAGCAATTTAAAGGTAGAGTTATATTAATTTTAACTATCAATAAAGTGAAAATTAACTGCAGATCATTATTTTAAAAAAATTATCATAACAGCATATTTAATCCCAAATTACAAATATATGAATAGCAATTTAAAAGTAGAGTTATATTAATTTTAACTATCAACAAAGTGAAAATTAATTGCAAAAAATATATTGCATTCAAAATTACATAGTATGAATAGCAATTTCAAGGTAGCCAGTTATATTAGTTTTAACTATCATAAAGTGAAAATTAATTGGAAAAACGTGATAAGATAACAATTTCAAAATCACAAAGTACTATTAATAAAAAAAAATTAAAGAAAAAAAGTGCCAAATTAGAATGTTTGTTTGATTATGCAATTATGTTTGAGTAATTTTATGGCTGAGTTTGGGCATCCTAGGACAATAGTGGTATGGAAATTTAACTTCTAACTTCAAAGGAATCCTTTGAATAAATACCGATTTTGGATATTTTGTCACATTATTTTGAGTATTTTGTGAGTTGAAATTTTGTATAGTTATTGTTTGGTTAATAGACAATTTTTTCTAATTTAATTTTAAAGAGGGGTTAATTGCAATACTTTATTCAGGTTTAGAATTTAATTTTATAAAATTAAATTAAAATACATGGAAAAAAAAAATTTCTTATCTCTGACATGGATAATTGATGTTGTACTGAAAAATATAGGACCAAAACAAACATTGTATCGTAGTAATTGGTACATGGATAATTGATGTTGTACTGAAAAATATGTGACCAAAACAAACATAGCATCGTAGTAATTGGTATGTAGTAATTGGTATATATCTCCGATCGTGTAAAAAAAACTTGGGTAATTAGATACAGGACCGAAATATAATTTAATCAACGAAAAAAAATTGCATACATTTTGGTTGCAAATGTTCCAAATGGGTCCCCCATACGGCAACATTTATATCCGGATGGAAAAATCCAAAGCACCGACAAAGTTGAGCATCTAGCCTAGAGCATAACTAATAATTGTGAAGGTTAAATTACAAGATAGTCCCTCGTTTTGATTTTTTCTTGGGAAATGCATGGTCGGGCCAGCTTGCGTTGGCACTGACCACTAGATAATGGTTTCCTCATTTTGAATTTTTTTTAAATTATATAATGAAACAAAAATTGTACAAAGCTAAAAAAATTGTTTCCAACTAAAATCAAAAGATGGGTGGTCGGAGTCAGTTTTGTACTAAAATCGATATGTGCACCCGTGCTAATAATCTTTGACTTTTAAAAGTAACTAATAAATTTCTAACTTTCAATTTGGTACTTAAAACACATCCTAACTCTTTTTTTTAGTACAAATTGGTCCGCAGCTACTTTCTAAAACTTACAAACCTAATACACAAGATAAGAAATCAATGCCCAATAATTTTGGTGAAGTTTAAAAAATGTTGGAAAGTTAAGAATTTTATAAAAAAGTTTGGACAAAAAGAGTTGGATACGGAATGTGGAACAATAAACTAATACTAATAGTAATGTGGTACCTTCTTGTTGAGGCAAAGATTGGGCATCCGATCCAAAATCCAAGAAGCAGTTGAAAAGCAGGAACCAGCAGCAGATGAGAACATGAACACGAGCACGAACACGAACACTCTTCAATTCCCATTCCCAAGTAGAAAGATCCATGTCCTACAGACTTGTAAATTAAAAGTAGAAGAAAATAAGCAGCTGCAGCACAGAACCAGAGCAAACAAACAAGAAGATCAGAGTTAGAGGGAGAGATGGTGATTTTATGGAGAGAGAAA